GGTCCACCATGGCAACTGCATCCTCCCGAGGGGAAGAGGTCACCAGTCCCCCCGCAGTAGTGCTTGACTTTGGAAAGGGGATGGCAGGAGGAAACCGAGGAGCCCGGGCAGAAGAAATTGAAGAAGTATCTAAAAGGGCAGCCAGGTCCTGGCATGGAGGTGGCTGGAAGTCTCTTATCCAAGACTCATGGAAAAAAAAGCCACTCAGAAATCCTTAAAAGAGCTGTTACTGCAGAAAGTGGCTGTTAAGCATTAAGACGATAAGCCTCTAAAAGAGGAGGACGCAACCGGAAAGCAAACTGGCACAAATGAGGCGTGAAACCATGATGAAATGGATACCTTGGGGAGTGAGGGCAGAGAAGATGGGATGGGATTTCCATCAGAGGTGAATGTGCCCATTCATTTTAACTGCAAAAAAGAAAGAAAGAGCAAAACACAGAGTGCAAATCCCATCTCTCCCGGAGGGAGAGAGGAAAGTGCCCCGGCCCCGTGCTGCCCCGAGCCCCACTTGGCACCAGGATGCTCAGTGGCTCCGGGCAAGCTGCCCGGAGAGGGACCCAAACAAAGAGCTGCTGGATCAGCTCACTGCACCCCACCCGGCGGGGGGATTAGCCCTCTCTTGCAGCTAATCCTTGCCGTCCAACAGGCCTGGGCACCCTGGGAAGGTAACTGAGATGCTGCCAGGTCCCTCCTGCCAGCCCTGCTAGGTATAAGAGCCCAGCAGGCCGGCTGCAGGCAGGGCAGCCATGTTGGGGGGACAGGTCCTGCTGCTGCTTACGGGACTTGCAGGCGCTGCAGGGCAGGGGCAGGAGTGGGACCTGGGTGGGAGGGATGCCTCGGTCATCACCGTGTCCAACGGGGGACCGTGGGGAGACTGGGCCTGGCCGGAGATGTGCCCCAAGGGCTCCTACGCCAGCGGCGTCAGCTTCAAGGTGCAGCTTCTGCACTGGTGCCCACGGCTGGTCTGGGGACCCCGCTCCTGTGGGGAGTTAACCCTCCATTCCCTCACAGGTAGAGGTGCCCCAGGGGGTGATGGAGGATGACACGGCACTCAACGGGATTCGGCTGCACTGCTCCCGCGGCGGGGATCCCAGTGGTGGCTACACAGCTGAGTCCCAGAGCGGCA